ACCTGTTTAAGGGCCTGAGATAATAAAGGGCTTGCAGGTGAGTACTTTCATTAGTTAAATGTGACATTTTCCTTTCTTTCTTTCAGGACACTTATAAAAGGGCATCTTTTTCTTTCTCTCTTGTTTTTTTGAAAACAAACAACTTTTTATTGACGTATAGTTGATTTACAATGTTGTGTTAGTTTCAGGTGTACAGCAAAGTGATTCAGTTTTATATGTATATTCAGTTTTATATATATATTCTTTTTTTGTTTGTTTGTTTGCGGTACGCGGGCCTCTCACTGTTGTGGCCTCTCCCGTTGCGGAGCACAGGCTCCGGACACGCAGGCTCAGCGGCCATGGCTCACGGGCCCAGCCGCTCCGCGGCATGTGGGATCTTCCCGGACCGGGGCACAAACCCGTGTCCCTTGCATGGGCAGGCGGACTCTCAACCACTGCGCCACCAGGGAAGCCCTATATATATTCTTTTTCAGATTCTTTTCTATTATAGGTTATTACAAGTTATTGAATATAGTTCCCTGTGCCATACAGTAGGTCCTTGTTGGTTATCTATCTAATTCTCAAATCCCAATTTACCCCTCCCCCCATTTCCCCTTTGGTAACCATAGGCTGTTTTCTATGTCTGTGAGTCTATTTCTGTTTTGTAAATAAGCTCATTTATATCATTTTTCTAGATTCCACATATAAGTGATATTTGTCTTTGTCTGACTTCACTTAGTTTGATAATCTGTAGGACCATCCATGTTGCTGCAAATGGCCTTACTTCATTCCTTTTTATGGCTGAGTAGTATTCCATTGTATATGTATATACCACATCTTCTTTATCCATGCATCTGTTGGCGGACATTTAGGTTGCTTCCATGCTTTGGCTATTGTAAATAGTGCTGCTTTGAACATTAGGGTGCATGTATCTTTTTGAATTAGCGTTTTCATCTTTTCCGAACACATGCTAAAAGGGCATCTTTTTCCCTCTAAGAAAAGCTGAAAAGCCCTTTGCTCATTTGATCAGATAACCAGCCATAGAAAGTCAATTCTGCTGAGAACATATGACTTTTTTCACTCCTTCAAAAACAGTTTTGATCCCTTACTTTGTGCTATAGGGTTTATACCAGGTGTTGGGTACGCAAAGACTCGTTCTACTCTCAAGAAACTTAGCTTTGTAGGGAA